TATTTGAGAATATTAGCTACCAGTTACAATTTTGTAAGCCTGTCTAGGTAGAATCTAAAGTTTAGTTGATAAGATACAGATTATTATCTCATAGATCAATGGTTCAATCTCCCACTTTGCAATTGTTGAACTAAAAGAATAGATACTAAGTTGTAAGTTTTCAGTTTCTTGATTATAAGGTTCAATTACTTTAGACTACATAATAACTTCTTTTTTTTCGTTAGAAGCCTAAAGTGGAAGTACAAATTAGCAATTATTTGTTGGTTTGTTTCCTCACTTTTTTTTTTCCCCCCACTACGTGCCATCCACTTTAGGGTTTCTTGTTTTGGTTTGAACTTTCAAGTTCTTCATTGAAAATTTACTGTTTTAAATACTTTGAATTACTCAGAAATTTATTGTTTTAGGTTAGGACAATCTTAATGGAGAAATAACTTCTTTCATAAATGTCGTGTCCCTTAAAAATTGGTACGATATAGGTATATTTTCCCTCTATTTCTACTAGTGTAATATAGGTATATTTTCCCTTTATTTCTACTAGTGTATCTTCCTTTATCTATCACCTATTTATCTTAAAAATGAAAACATATTTAATTTTAAAATTCTTATACTTGAATCACTTTACTTGAATGTCACATAATTAACATAGGAGTGTGTTTTCTGTTTGAACTTTTTTATAACAAAAACTTATATTTGAAATGAAGTTTCATTTTACTTTGAAAATTTATTATGCAATCTTATTTACTAATTTTACATCACCAACACCCTATCTTTTTTTTTTTTTATAATTAACTTCAAATTTATTAGATACAAAATTGAGAGTTATTAATCCCTTTATTTAAATAACTTTAAATGTATCCCATACAAAATTGAGAGTTATAATCCTTTTAAATAACTTTAAATTTATTTAATATAAAATTGAGAGTTATTAATCACTTTAAAGCTACTGAAACTAAGTTCATATATTTATTTATTTTTTGGTTTCAAAATAAAAAAGAATTAAATGTTCAATATTTGGCATATAATTTTAATATACTTTTAAATGCCTTGCAAAAAAGGGGGGAAAAAGAAAGAAAGAAAGAAAGAAGTGGAAACATAAAAGTAATTTAACATTTTTCTAAAAAAATGAAAATAATCATAAAAATAATAAAATTGCATAGACTAAAAGAAGACTACTGAAAAGGAACACCGGCCAAAAGATCTTTTAATTTTGCATCGAAAGATTTTATTTTAAAAAAATGAAAAAGAACACGTTGAGAATGGAAATGAGCACGTGGACGAAGAAGTGCGGCCGCCAATATACTATAAATCTTTTCTTTTTAATTTGTTGGACGCCGCATTTGCATCAAGCTGCGCTGTTAACCTTCTCTTCATCGCCTCTTTTCTGTCTCCTCTGTGGCTCTTCTTAATCCAAGTCCCACCAAGCAACACCCACTTCTCAATTCCTTCTAGTTTCCCTTTTTCAACTGTTAAATCACTCTTCAATTTCTAATTTCCGCAGGAAACCCAATCATTCATGGCTTCCCTCAGGTGGGTTTCTTGGATTTTGATCGCCCATTTGTTTGTTTCAACTTTTGTGCACTCAGATTCTTCGTCGAACTCAGAGAATCTTGCAGAAATTCCTATTAAGTTCCTCCAATTTGCTAAGGAGCCAGAGCTGTTTGATTGGATGGTGGGAATCCGGAGGAAAATTCACGAGAACCCAGAACTTGGTTATGAGGAATTCGAGACCAGTAAGCTGATTCGAGCAGAATTAGATAAATTGGGCATATCTTATAAATACCCAGTTGCCGGTACTGGAGTCATCGGCTTTGTTGGTTCTGGTCAGCCCCCCTTTGTGGCCGTTCGAGCAGATATGGATGCTCTTGCTATGCAGGTTTGAATCGATTGGTTGACCTCCTCTTTCAATTACTCATAGTTGGTAGTTTAGTTGAGTGTAGGGTGAAGATTTCCCACCAGTTGTTTGATCATATGTCTGAACACCAACGATCCTACTCTTTTTCTGTTTGTTATAATTTGATCCCTTGACGATGAGTTCAACAGTAATTTTCCAGAATCTGTTTGAATTTTTGATGGAGTAATTCTTTTTACAGGAACTGGTGGAGTGGGAGCATAAGAGTAAGGTTTCTGGGAAGATGCACGCTTGTGGTCATGATGCTCATGTTGCGATGGTCTTAGGTGCTGCAAAGATCCTTCAAAAGCACAGTGAGGAGTTGAAGGTAAGCAAGCATCTCGTGGATCATTTTTCCAAATCTTAAATTTCTTGGGAAAGATCTGGTATGCACTTTTATGCTTAGTTTGGGATCCAGATTTAAGGTATTTATCTGCGATTGTTTTGGTGGGATGATAATCTGGTTCCACGGACTTATTCTTATGACACAACCAGGATATCTATGGAGATCATGAATTATAAAATTGAATCTTCCATGGTTACCTTCCTAGGCGTCACAAAGATCTTCATAGAAAATATGAGTGAACATAAGCGCTTCAAAATGTTTTCATATTAGAAGATGAACCTTGAAGTTTATTTAATATACTGAATCACGCTGAGCTGACTAATTGATTTTATTTGATTGAATTGAGTGCACTTCTTCTTTCTTTCTCGAAGTAAGCTTATCGAAATTTGTGTTTAAGAGGCATTACCTTACTCAAAGGTATAAAACTGATCTAGCATCTAGGCATTTGAATTGGTGGTAGTTTGAAGTTGGAGGGTCAGTCAAATGACATCTGGAAGAAAAATATGATGCTAGAAAAAGATTCACTTGTGGGGTGGATGTTCCCTAATCTCTTACATCTTCACAATACTCTAGTCCATAGATAATGTTCTTGGTGGTTTGCTTTGATTTTCATTCACTTAACAGGGAACAGTTGTCCTGGTTTTCCAACCAGCTGAAGAAGGAGGTGGAGGTGCCAAGAAAATTATAGAAGCTGGAGTGTTGGACAATATCCAGGCTATCTTCGGGTTGCATATTGCTCATAATATACCTCTGGGTGAAGTGGCTGCACGACCAGGACCCATGTTAGCTGGAAGCGGCTTCTTTGAAGCAGTAATCAGTGGAAAAGGAGGCCATGCCGCCATTCCTCAGCATTCTATAGACCCACTTTTGGCTGCTTCGAACGTGATTGTGAGCTTACAACATCTTGTTTCAAGGGAAGCTGATCCACTAGATTCACAGGTAAGCAATTTAGAATGGTTAAATGTACGTTTTGGAGTGATTTTAACCCTTTCAAAATCATTCCTAAGCACGACTTTCTCATATATTGTGTTAAGCTGTGTTACCCTTGTGCTCGATCTTCTGCTTATAAATATATTTGCAAGGTTGCATTGACTATCAAAAATAGCTTGCTTATTTGCAAATAAGAATCCACATTCACTCGGAAATGTGCAGGTAGTAACAGTTGCTAAGTTCCAAGGAGGTGGCGCATTCAATGTAATTCCAGATTCTGTTACCATAGGTGGCACTTTTCGAGCTTTCTTGAAGGATAGCCTGGTCCAACTTAAGCAACGTATTAAAGAGGTATACAAATTTGAGTTGTGGATTGAACACTTCTCGTTGAGTACTTAAGCATGTTCATTTAAATATCGGGCATTTGACACTCGGTTTCTAAGATCAGAATGATATTTCGGATTATTCTTAATGTACTATTAGCACCTCTGGTCGATAACCTCTTGGTCGAAGATAGATGCATTACCCAATTGAACTATGTTTCAGTTGATAGAAGAAAATTGATGTGGTAATTTATAAATGATGTTCTCGTTTTCTCCTTTTAATAGGTTATCACTGGACAAGCTTCCGTGCATAGGTGCAATGCGACAGTCGACTTTTTCGAGAATGAGAAACCTATTTTCCCTCCAACTGTGAATGATAAAGAGTTGCATGAACACTTCCAAAATGTTGCAGGAGATATGCTTGGCATTGATAAGGTCAAGGATATGCAACCACTTATGGGATCTGAAGATTTTTCGTTTTACCAAGACTTGATTCCGGGGTACTTCTTCTTCCTTGGAATGGAGAACGAGACATCGGGTCGGCTCGATTCTGTGCACTCCCCTTACTTTCGTATCAATGAAGACGCACTCCCTTACGGTGCAGCTCTTCATGCATCACTGGCTACAAGATATCTTCTTGAGCTCCAGCCACGAGTTAGTTGGTCGGAAGAAAAACGACACGACGAATTGTAAGTTGTCTATCGATCCCCTAGATTGTATGTTCCAATCGAGTTAAAGGGTATAAAACATTGTCGAAACCTCATTGAGCTGCTACTGATGTCGAGATCCCTCCGCACAGCACCTGTATTCTGTTTTTCCTTTGTCATGTAAGCTTCATCTGTAATTGTACCTTCCCGAAATCAATCAGCATAAATGTTCCAAGAAAGTGAAGCATCTGCACGCTTCCTATTCTTTGTGATATATTTCTCTTACATTTATGAAATAACCTATTATGTAAATGAGATGCTGTGAAGATTCCAAGATTTCCTTTTGACCCCAACATTACATGTCTTTTGACTCCCACAAACCATGTAAAGATATATCGGTTCGGTTTTGAATGTTAGATAGATGTTGCTTGATAATAATAATAAACACTCGTGAATTTTGTCTTATCATTTTATTCGATAGAATCTCGATGGAAAATATGTTTTTAAATTTTTTTCATATAGCAAAGTCCAAATTAATTTTTATTCCCCTCTTTTTATTTTATTTTTTAAAAAGTAAAAGATGAGAATAATAATAATAATAATAATAGCTTCACACTTGCACATTTTATTATATGGCATACTGTTGGTGTTGGAAGAACCTGATACCAAAATCAAATTCATGCCTTAAATTTTTATTCCTTACATTCAAAGGATTTAAAAAGTCAACCACACTCAAAGGAGACCTCTTCTCTCAGTTCTTTGTCCGAAAAAAATTCAAAAGGATGTATATATATAATATAATATAGATTAGAAGAAAAAAAAACAAGAAGAAGAAGACTGTTGACTGGAGACTAAGATTTATGAGGTCTCATAAGAACACACCTCCAAAAGGGAAGCATTTCTGAAGCCTAGATTATGTCAAAACCCCATAACCTTTTCAGCTACTTCTAACAAACGATCCAAGGCACTTGGAGCAAATTTTCTAGCAAAAAGAAAGCACAGAGAAGAAGGCTGATCGTTGTAAAGACAAGTCTTGCCTTCAAAAATTTTCTTAAAGAACTCTTCTGTGATATCATACTTCCCAAATGTAGCAGGATGAGCTCCACCCCTGGACCAGTCCACAAACGTAAGGCTTCTGTTTGCCAGAAGATTTGACGACTCCATGCTCAACATTGTTTGGAAGTAGTGCTCGTCGACATAACATGCTGGTCTGCAAAACTCTTTAAACAGAGGGTAATATTTCGTATCTTTAACTATCTGAACTGCAAGTTCGCGATTGACTTCGAACCATTGGTAGCCTTTGCGCCAGTCAGTTAGGTTAATCTCAGGTGCCATGTTTCTGTTGTAGCGTCCTCTTCCATAGGGTCCTTGCTCGTCGAATGAATCCACAAAGCTGTAGCGGGATCTTGCAATGTAGCGGTAGACCGTGGTAAAGCTGTGGAGAGGGATGCAAGACTCGGACAGGAGAATGAACCATTCATTGGAGATATCGAGCAATGCATTAGCTACCAGTCTCCTCTCTGCATCACACATATTCATTTCGCCCCACTCTGCAACCTACCCGGGGAGAAACCACACAATGTGAATATTCTAATTCTCAATTAAACAAGAGAACAAAGTAGAAGATGAAAAGTTTAATCTGAGGCAAGCAAAAACGGTCAAACGGTTGTTATGGTAAGTTGAAAAGAAAATTCTTTTCAATTCAATAATTTCTGATAGCGGATGTATTGGCAAAGAGTCAGAAACAAATTTTGAATACATAACTTGAAATATTTCCTTGGACTCGAACAATTCAAACCGAGACAAAGCTACAAAAAACAATATGATTATCCTACAAGCTCGAAAAAGGTCTCTTATTTCTCAAGAAAATTCTACTGTTTCTTCCTAACCAAACGGTCCAGTGAAAGACTAAATCACAAGAACTTCTTCAGCTTTGAAAGAATGGTCTACAGAAGACAAAAGGCTCTTGGTGGTGTTAGGTAAAACAATGGACCAATTAAAGCAAGCATGCAAGCGATCAAAACTCAGGGCCGAAGGACAAGTGATAAAGATGTCAACAAAAACTACAATATCATTATTTATAGGCAATTATTCAATTAGCTTCATCACAAAACTCCGTCCAATTCCAACAAATGATTAAAGAATAAGCACATAAATCTTCAGTTCTCAAACATTTCTTGCTTTTTGATGAAACAAATCGAACAATGCCTAATAGAGAACACTAAAATAGTTTTCTTTTATCCAAGAAAACAGGAAAGGAAGCAATTGCCAGTACCTGACTTGGGATCTGTCTTCCATAAAACACAGATGAAGACGGGAAGTCAGCAATGTACGATGGGGTGGTATGAACATAAATGGAATATAGCCCCTCGTGACCCTTGAAGAACCGTTGCCAAAGAGGGGCCATAGGCAAAGGCCCTTTCGTCAAGAACATAAAGGCAATTTTGCGAACTCTCTTGAAGGGATACTCTTTAACTTGAGGAACAAAAGAAGCCCGCCATAGCAGCTCCTGATCACTCATGCTATGAAGAAGATTTGAAGGCGCCCTAATCCAACTATCAATGCCACTTGGCTCTTCCAAACGAGGCTGAATGATATTGACTGATGATACTACAGGAGCAGCACTTTGAACTCTAAAATATCTAATAGTATTCATACTAATAATTGAAACCCCAAGACCAAATACTATGAACATCAAGAAGAACTGCAATAACCTCATTGTAGGATATCTGATATGATTAACTCTAACTACAGCACCAAATTCCTTACCGTCCTCCATAACTACTAATCCTGAATCCCTACTAACCTTAAATCCAACAAAAATCATTCAACATCACACTATTATACCCACCAAACCTTCAAGCTACGCATCTTATACAGAAACAAAACCAGTCACATCAACAATTTCTCACAAAAAAATAAAATTTTCCAAATTAAACCAAAAAAATTCACCACTTCGCAAAACCAAACGGATCATCTCGAAATAGAAAACTCTGATTAGCAAGATAAAGTCGTCCCATCAGATCATCAATAGTGATGGCACAAAGACAAAATCGAAATGCAGAGGACACTACTGCCTTATTGAACCAGTGTACAATGCCAATAGCTGCTGACTTTGAGGATCGAATTGATCGCGGATTGTAATTACGGAAATGTTGAGTTGTGCGAACAAAATTTACGAACAAGGAGTTTCGAAATCTGATTCCTCTGGTTAAAATTTAGGGGTCCAAGCGGAAGCGGAAGAAGAAGAAGAAGAAATAGAACGGAGAGTTGAAGAAGGGAAGGTGGAAATATGGTGAGAAGCCCTAGGAGACCAGGCAGTCAATATTAGATCTCCGGTGGAATCTGTTCTGGACCGCCTGACTGCGGGTCGTGGACTTTTGTTTCAAATTTAATATAATTCGGGGGCATGTAACCAATTACTTTAATATTATTGCTTCTAACCATACATAATTTAATATAATTAGGGATAAATAAAACTTGCCATATCCGCCTTCCCAATTTCTGTTTTTTAGTCTTCAAATGAATTCTTTTAAAATTTTATCATTAGTCATTTATCGTCACGCTATCTTTTTCATTAGTCATTAGTGACCGTCGCACCCACTACCACAATTCTTGTTGCACACTACTGCACATTGTACCTATCAACTACTTAGACGACCTCTTTGATAACCACCACCACCGTTGACAACCACCTCCCATTATTAGTTTAATATTTGTTATCTATGTTAATTTAACACATGTAAAAGCATTTTAAATGTAAAAAAATCATTATAATTTTTTCCATTTTTTATTATAATTTTAACACGACATTTTAAATAAAATTTCTTAAAATATCGTTATAAATTTGTACTAAAACATATCTATAGGTATAATATTTACACTTAAATTTTACAAACATAACTAAATCAATCACTTTTTAATTATTAATCATTCTATTTTGTTGATCTCAAAATGATGATAATAATAAATAGTAAATGATTAATAATTATATAACTATTAAAACATGGATGCTAACTTCCACACGTCCCACTCTTATTCAATTTAAGAAATATATATATATATATATATATATATTGAGTAAAATAAATAATACGATAATTGTTGAAATATAGATTCTAACCGCCACAAATCCCAATTGGAACCATTTTAATTGCATAAATGTGTAAAGAATATATTTAGGATTAATATAGAAAGAAGATAACGTGACGCCTATTAATAATTCTATACAACTTTTGTCCTATACTTATAATATCTCTTTTTAATTATTTCTTCCAATTTTGGTCATAATGATAAAATTAAATATTATAAAATTTGAAATCAACTATCTTTTTTTAGTTTTTAGCATAAAACAATTTATATTTTTACACATGTAAACTAAAATGAATAGAGAGGTAAGTACACGCATTTAGCTAAAAAAAAAAAAAAAAAAAAAAAAAAAAAAAAAAAAAAAAAA